ACAAGCTGCGGCCGGACAACACTATACACTCTGCCAGAGAGTAGTAGGACAAACTTGCAGAGATCAAACATGTTCTTCTGAGGCTTGGGTGGAGTGAGCACAATTTGAAGGGCGCGAACACCCCGTTGCCTGGTCACGACGTTCCTCTGGGTAGATCCTGGCCACTGCATCTCGATGCGCGTGATTCAATAGACACATTGGATGCATTTGGCAACATGATTCACGCCCTGACTTGCTTGTCTTTCCAAACACCATTCATGATTTGAAGATATTTGAAGTATGCGACGTTCTTGCCCTTTGTCCAAAAGAAAAAATGTACGAATATCATCAAATAATCATAATATCATAATATTCTGCTATGTTCATTTTGATCGGGCTCGGAAAGGGAAAAGCTTCACTTCTCAGAGCATGATTCCCACGTTGTCCACAGGTCGGGTGCACAGTCTCCCTGACCCAAAGGCCACCGGTGGAGGCACTCTATAAACCTAGGTTGTCAAGTACAGCGGCCGTGAAGGATGCATGTAAACAAATGTAAACAGCATATGCAGCATCTTCAGCATCATCAGCTAGCATCTGATAATGCGCGAGCCGCCAAACGACTAGGGCAACTTGGTCTTGCAAGACCCGAACTGCAAAATCAGGAAGAAGCTCTAGGGATCTCTAGGGTTTTCTGTTTGACCATGCGCGAACCACCTGGTTCGGGGAAGTTATACTGATCCATACCCATCCTTTTCATCTCCGTGGCTAAACCGCGTGCCTTGTAGGCATCGCAGGGGAGCCGAAGCTGATCTTCAAGATTTTTCAACAAGTCATTCACCTTGGCCACGATGGGTTGCTCCACGGCAGCTAGACCAACAACCTTTGGAATACAACATGTCCAAGATGGTCGTTGAGAGGAATTGTCCTTGGTTTTCTCCAGTTTTTGGACATAGAATCCATTAGAATCCCATAGCGCAAAAGCAGTTGCAAAACTTCAAAGAAAAAGAATACAAGAAGATGCAATAGGTTCTAGCTGGGAGTCCATCCAACTCTTGACTGGACATCTTCAGCCTGCTTTCTTGTCCCTTCAGCAACTCACCAATATCCAAAGTTGCAAGTCTTGTTCAACAAATCTTGAGAAGGTGCAACCAAAATATGAAATATAGTTGTGTGGGCCTCTATGAAATATAGTTGTGTGGCTGTTGGTCATCAATGTATTTTTCCTCACTATGGTGTGTGCTGTAACTAAGTACCTCATCATTTTTCCAGGCTTGGGTCCAGATTTGACCTCAAGTTTATCCTGAAATCATCTTGTAGCTATCTATTTACTTACGTATTATATCTGATTACAATATCTTATAATATTACCCACATTGAGACAGCTGGTCTTGACCAACAGGGCTCCTGGCGGTCGCTTTGGGTGGGTCCTCAATGAGGTACTTGGCATCTGGCAAGTGGCATGCCACCTAGCTGGGGAGACAAGGAAAGATCTGGCTGGGTCAAAGGCTCAAAGAAAGCTTCTGCGATCATACATCTGATGAACATGCAACTATGAAGCAACCATTTGCCAAAGCACTTGTTCAAATCTGAATTGAAAGGCTGCAACCATGCTGCAACCATGCGCATGTTTGACCAAAGGTGGATCTGATCAAAGTATCCGAAAGATCTGTCTCCCCCATTCACTCCATCCCGACCGCATCAATGCCTGCTTGTTGCCAGAAGTCTTGCTGCGTCCTGTGGTTGGGAAGTTTTGATGTGTCTGGTGGCTCGCAGGGCATCCATTCGTCACTTGCTAATGCTGGATAATGCTGGAATATTTGTAACTTCACATGTATGTAATCTGTTGTAATCTCACACAATTTCTGTATCATCTCTTGAACTGAAAATCCTTGAGTCATTTGAAACATTAGACTCTTAGAAAAGAAACTGCCCTCCCCACCTATGGCTCGAGCAAGGGCTCGACCTGCTGGACCTGGAAGTTGCGTGCAGCATGCGTGCGGCCACTCCACGAAGCAACAGCTGCTCTATGCTGCTCTCTTTAGTCTGCAAATGTCTGCAGTGAATTCTTCGATTGCTCAAAGTGGCCTGCGATTTTTGACGTCTTTGTCAAAACATGTCAACACAAATCTGAACATCTACAATCTAAAGCTACATCACATCTTGTCTCGCCGAAGCTTTGTTCAGGAGCACATAAAACGACAAGCTGCTTACAGCAGGATCAAACAAGTGGACATGTGATAAAGAAAGAATGTCATTGTGAATGCCACTAGCCTGACGCGTGCATCCACTGGTTCAGCTCCATGATATCCAAGTCCTCACTGCATCTGTTGCAGAGCATAGATCGATACCCTGAGAGAAAAGGAACGAATAATTCCAATCCCACCTACATATACTTCTTGGCAGCTTTGCAATGCATTGCCAGGCATTGCCACGAACCCTCCAGTTGAATGTGATCCTGCCAAACAAGATGACATCTTGTGGGTAGATCATGGTAGATCTAGGTGACTGATATTTCTTGCAATTTTGGCAAAAGCGGTTTGGAATTTGATTGGACCCCACAACTGAGTGCCGAGATCGTTGCTTACTTCCGACCAATCTTAGGTACCCACCCGTGCAGGCATGCTGAGTCTGCAACCATGGCTTCAGAGTCTGGCACCTGGGATCATGATCGACAAGTATTGTCTGTATTGCACCATATTGCTCCAGAAGATCAAGATCTGTCAGCACACCAACTTGGGTTGTATGATTCTGTATGATGTTGTATGTGTATCATTATGTAACATAACAAATGCTTGGTGCCTTCGCAAAGCAGCTGGACCTGCTTTTTGTCGACATCCCTTGTACAGAATTCACAACACATGTCCTGCATGTCCTTTACACTCCAACAAGCTGGATCGATATTGACCGCTTATGATCCATTTCCCAACTCTTGTTGCAAGAAAATATACATCCCTTCTATGGGGCCTGTCTTTGCTTTTGAACCAGGGACACCAGCCTTACCTCTCCCGGTCCCTTGCGACCTGCCGCACCGGAATGGAGTTGGATGTGTTGCCTGGCAAATGACCAGAGGGACAAATTCTCACCCTTGAATTTGGAGGCGTACAGAAGAAAAATAAAATCATTGCCATGTCTGTCCACAGATTTTGTTGCATGATGTTGCATGCATCTTTATTTGCCATTCATCTACAGTATGATGCCGCAAGCTGATGGTCTTTCGAGAGCAAGCAATTAGTCTAGAACTTTCTGTACACGCCCAAAGTTCTCTTTCAAAAGCAAGCGTGTAGTTTTCACTGGCATGCCGGACCTCCATGCTGCACATGCAGGCACATTCCGAAGTCATCTGGAACCAAATGCACACTTCGTTCACCTCGACAAAATCACGAGCATTCAAATCTGAAGCAAATTGTTGGAGCGATTCATAGGCCTCCTTGTCATGAAGCTACAATGGAAACCGTTTGCAGAATCTGCTTCATCTAACAGCTTCATCTTAATACATCTTGTGGATGTCCAACATCTAACAGCTGCTGCATGCACCCTGTGGATTTCAGAGGCCTCTCCGGAGCTGCAATTGCATCATGAAGTTAAAATCCTGTGGGGCCCGGCACCCATAAACCAACATTTCAAGCCCAAAAGGGCCGAAACAGCGTCTTACTTTCTAAATCTTTCTAATAGTCTGATAATCTCTAAATCAGCTTCAAACAGAGTCTCCTAGCAGACTCGTATCCTTGGAGTAGATACTTTGCGAGTAAACTTCAAGGGTGTCCTCGTACCTGCTTGGAAAACATATTGCTATGTTTTGCACTTTGTACCTATTCACATTCTTCCACAGTCAGATCTATTTGATTCTGTTTGAATATATTTGAATATATTTGATACGTCTTAATATACTTTAATTACTAGCACCGTACTTAAGTCACATCAGGGAAGAAGAATCACCATGGCACAGCCTGTTTCATCCATATTTGGAGATGTAGTTAAAAGTAGCCGAAGCATTGCGCACAGCGATGATTTTGAAGGGCACAAGTTAATACAAACAAATTCTCGGCAGCTAATCCTATTGGATTTGAATATATTATATTGATGTCCTGCGTCGCGTGACCAAATCAAACCCCTATTGGTACAGCCTCAAATTCCTTGCAATGCAAGTGGGTTAGCTGTAGCAAATCCTATTGGCAGGGCTATGATCTAGGATGATATAAGGATATGGGGGCCCCTTGTTTTCCGCAACCAAATCTATGGCTGGCGCGATGTCCATCAATGTCGTGGACAGCTCTCAAGAAGTTTGTTGTCCTATCCACCCAGGAATTACAAATTGGAAAAAAAACCTTCATTCCATTGCAGCAAGCAGCAAGCAGAAGCAAGCAGCAGCAAGCAGCAGCAAGCAGCAGCAAGCAGCAGCAAGCAGCAGCAAGCAGCAGCAAGCAGCAGCAAGCAGCAGCAAGCAGCAGCAAGCAGCAGCAAGCAGCAGCAAGGAGCAGCAAGGAGCAGCAAGGAGCAGCAACAACAGGCAAGCAGTAGGTGAGCAGCAGGTGAGCAGCAGGTGAGCAGCAGCAGGTAAGCAGCAACAAGTAGCAACAAGTAGCAGCAAGCAGCAGCATGGTGAGCAGCAACAGGTAAGCAGCAGCAAGCAGCAAGCAGCAGGCAAGCAGCAGCAAGCAGCAGGCAAGCAGCAACCAGCGTTTGCCCCCTTGAAAGAATGATCAAATATATTCTTTAAACTTTAAAAATCAATGCAGCAAAAAAATTGAACTTTTTCCAGGCGCACGGCCCCAAAACAATGACATCGTTTAATTACCAAAAGTTGTGGTGATGCCAAACTTGAACTTTTTCCAGGCGCACGGCCTCCCGATACGACTTTTACAAGCTGATACGACTTAACGCTAGCGTTAGTATCTTTAATTATACTTACATCTCATCGCTCAGTCCAGATGGGCTGCCACTCCTCGCCAAGGTTGATGTTGCCATACCATCTGCAGGGTTGGCCAAGTGGCTGGTGAAGCACAAGGTAACATAAGAATATGCAGTATCAATGTAGCATCAATATGGCATCAATGTATCAATGTTCCTAATACTTTCTTGTCAATTTGCAGTGGCCGTTCTTGCAACCACTTCCTGCTGTAGAAAATCGAACCATCAAGCTTCGCTCAACATTTCGTGTGTTTGATGAATCGATTGCTAGACATCTTGGGACTTTAAGCATTTTAAGCAGCCCCACGCTCAGCATCCCTCAGCTACCAGGATTCCCTGGGTTTTCGGGCAGGTCGAGGCCGCACTGTCTTCGGTAGACATAGGAGAAGCCATAACCATAGGCCCAGCTCTTTACCTGGCTTCTGTTCGAGAGCAGCGAACGTGGAATAAGTCCTGAAATTTTACATGTGAAATCATGTGATATCTGATGTTTGAAATTGAAACATATTGAAACCACAAAACAAGCCTTGCAAATGGTAGTCTAAGCAAGAAAACAACTGGCTTCTACATCAAGACATCACGTTCACAGGTGAACTACATTGGACAGTCCTACTCGACCGATGCTAAAAGGCCAAGGTCAAACAACTTCTGACCAATTCAATGGAATTATCCAATTCATGTTCAACATGTTTGTGACGACACCGGCTGGAATAAGACAGGCAATATACCGTACATCTATAACCATCTATAAAAATACGTATATATATATATGTATATATTCATAGAGATACACAGTAACTGTATTTATGTATTACTGTATATACAATTATAATCATAAGAATATAATATATATATATACATATGTACATGTCTTCCCATACTCAAATTTCTCGAATGCATGTTTGTCGAATTGGTGATTGACACCGCCTATGTTCAACACGTGCATCTCGAATGATGGCAACAAACATTAATAAACCAGAACAAACTTCTGTCTATGAGCCTTGTCCGAGCTTTCGTCCAGCCCTTTCGTGAGGCCCCATGCAATGGGGTCGCAAAAACTCCACGTGTCAGTGTCTATGTGATAAACGTACCTGTCAAGCGTGTCAAGTCAGGAGAGAGAGAGACCGCCCTTGAACAGGTCGCCTAGACAGCAACTGCATCCCAGTTTTCAAGCCTTGCTTTGAATATAAAATACATGTATTGACGTGTATGGTAGACCATAAATATGGTAGCAAAGCATGGTGTGTCTATATGCACTAAAGCCGTTCAAATGGCAGTGTGAATGTCACTCACAAATGGCGCACCAGTTGGACAGCTTCACAGCAAGTGCCTTGGTATGATGATGGACAGCTGTCCAGAACTGTTCTTGCCACTGAAACCAGTGTGAATAGAAAACAAGTCATTAAGCCATCCTTTCAATTTGAACACATACAGAAAGCAGTGGAAAGTCAAAACCTCAAGTTGCTTTTTACACAAATCTGGCTTTTTGACTATGCTGACTTAGATTGAATCCTATTCACGTTTTCCCCCCAACAGCATTTTGAGGCTGTCGATGACCGTCAACTGTCAAGTCACTCGTCTATCTTGCAGGGCATTGACCATGGTGTCCAAATAGGATGGTGCCTTCAGCTCTTCCGCATCCACATTATGAATCGGTATGAGTGTCTCAAGTGTCTCAAGAATCAATAGATCAAAGGATGTGTGCATGGGCGTCGACGCTCATTTGAAAACAGCAAGGGATTTGTTGGCATCTGACTGAAAATGGATGAAAATGGGCTCGTACAACAACTACTTGCAATAGTGTCTGCTCAAGCCACATGGCACTGGAGAGGCTGCTTGGGTCCATCCATGAATCTACGTAATTAGTACGTATATATTAGTATAGATATATTGAGTATCGTTTAATTAGTCCAAAACAGTTGGCCACACGTGTCACATGTTGTCCATAGCTTAACATCAAGTTTTAAGCTTGCCTTCAATGGGAGTGAAGCTTTGAATTAGAGTTCCCACAAGTGCAGTGACTAGAGCGAAGTTCAACGACCCTCTTAGAGTACGTATCTTAGAGTCAGGTAAATGAAACTGAACAAGCATGGCACCAAGACATGATCATTGCAATTGTGCCACCTTTAAATACAAACACAAGAACATCAAGAACATACGACAGCCAAACTTGAACTCTGAAGCCACTCACTGGGTGTTGACTCACTGTTGCACCGACGCTCTATGCTGGGGTCTGTGCGTAAAGATCATCATCATCGAAGCTGGCAATCACTTCACCCGAAGCCAAGTGCGTCCCAACGTTCCTGGCGACGGAAGCAACCATAGCAGGCCATAGCAAACCAGGCTTCACAACGACCTTCACAACAGCCGACTCGTTGGTTTTCTCCGCCCGAAATGATGTAGAAGAGTAAAGGAGTCCAGGCTCCTCGTTTCCATCACCAGTCTGAGTCAGTCTGATCAATTGCGAGGGTATTCCAAATGTCGGACAGAACCAACCGATCCATCCGATCCCTCTAAGCACCTCTTCAGGCCAATGCTGAAGTCATTCCCAACGGGGCGCTTGAACTTTACATACACCTGGCAAACATTGGCAAACTGGGTGAATTTGTCAACAGCTCGAAGCTCTAAGATGGACTAAGTTATGACATAGTATGACTAAGTGACTATAAGATACTATAAGGGACTAAGTCTTTCTGTGGAAATGCATGAGCACATGGGATAACAATGAAGCGACATGAGGTGCGGTTACGACTAGCTTCAATATTTCGAAAAATCTCTCACACGCCGGCTTCGCCACTCTGGAATCCGTTTGGGCCTTCCTTGGTGGGCTCACAACAGTGGCTTGAGCCTGCTGCTGCTTGCATGAAGATATCCTTGTCTACTGCATACATGTCTTGCAACATGTTATTCAAACATGCAAAGAGATCAAAGAGCTTATATTTTACAAAACATATCAACACATTCAATGGATTGCACACCTACACATTCTTCAGCCAAGTCACTGGGCGAAAAACTCTGAGGGCGAGCCGGTGTAGGTCTCCACAATCACCAGCTCCTGTGCATGGCCATGGCCATAGATAGAAACACTATGAAACACTGCCTCATCAAGGGAAAACATCGAACATCACCGAACTATGTGGTGGTGTGGTACCCTTGCGTCGCTTGTGCAGAAAGGCGTTTGCGCTGCAGCCATCAGTGTCCCAATCTTTCAATTTGAGTCTGACTCCAACTCATGGGTGGGACAAGGCCTACTGTAAGTCCTGTGGAAGCCAGCACTGAGCCCAATGTTACCCGTCCTTGTCAGGCCATGTTTGAGCGTCAAAGCACCTTGCAAGACCAAGGAGCTCAAGGCAATTCTGATCAAAGCCGTGGGCCGTGAACAAAGAATACGTCACACCGACACCATTTGGACAGGTGAAACATGTGACAGTAACCCTCTAGTAATGCCATTGGGACACAAGGAACCTGCCATCAGCTGCTACATAGTTCTGCTCAGGGACCGGTACAGCTGCTCATGGAACTTGTGTCTGCTTTCAGTTGTAGGTGTCACCTGGCTGCGACCACCGAAGATTCCTTGATCCTGATATATCTTGATTACGGCCATCCAGATCCACAGGTGAATTATATGGTGAATTCAAACCGTCTCCTTGCTGAAAGACACATCTAAAGAATTCTAAAGACATATTCCTCTTCTCCAAAGACGCTTCATTGGATCCACCCATTTGACCTCGGTGGCAGCCCGTCAAATATCAGTCGAGCGGGATTCGTCATCCCAGTTCCCCCGGTTTCGTTTCTGACAAGAGCCGAAATTCTGCCAGCAGCACGATGGACACACGGCCTTTGACTTCATCCATCTTTGGCTTCGACCGAGATTGAAGAATCTGCCGCGGGTGAACAGTCCCGCTGGAGCAAAACCTGCGTGACGAAAGATTGGATTCGAGGAGCTATTACCTGATGGCCTGAAATAAAATGATCCAAAGTTTATTTATTCACCATACTTTTTCAAAGGTTTCCAATAGTTTCCAAATCATGGTTTTGAAGTATCAAAATCATAGAAACTTCTTCCTGCAGTTGTATTCAGGCCAGTAGAAAGGAGGTCAGTGAGAGATCAGCGGCCTGGAAGCACCATCACCAACGCATTCAAAATAAAAACTGGCATTTCAATGCTCGTTCTGTGTCCTCGATTTAGGATTGACTTTATGCAACAATACTGAGTATTCTTATTTTTAAATATACATATGTTACATAATATTTTACCATGTGTTCAAGTTTGACGACAGTCGCATCCTGCATGGGCACGCGCCAAGAAGCCACATGGAACACTCTCGTTCATCCCAATCCAAGGCTTCTTGTGGCAGTGGTGTCCTTGGTGACACAAACAAAAACGTTGATAGGATTAATGAGATTAATGAGGCTTACATGAAACATTAAAATGGTAAAGGCTACAGTAGTGATATGACGTTATTAATTAAGCGAGTCCTACAATAGCATACCTGCCTCTTCCAAAGTGGGCTTAATTTCTGCCTTTTGCCCAATAAATAGGTTTTTCACAAGAACGACCTTTTTGGGCAAACCAGAGTTTCTTCTGATATATTGCTGCCAAGCCCGTTTTTCAGCGGCGAAAATGCTCGACCAAACGGCGAAAATACCCGACCAAACGGCGAAAATACCCGACCACGTGGGCTGACAATTTCTCACAACGGCATTTATTTTCAGGAAAGGCGTTTTTCCGCAAGAACGGCGACAATTCTACTGTTTTTGAGCAACGGCAGAAATAAGCACCATATGGAAGATCCAGGTATACGGTACATGGATGTACTCTAATTATATACTACTCACATATTTATAATTTCATGATTAACTCCATGAACCAGCCTTCTGAGATTTGTAAGTGTTGAACCCAGCACTCAAGGCCAAACCTAGGCCGAGAGTCACATCGCAGCCCATGGAGGATTTGGCCTTCACCTCCCGAGCCTTCAAAATTTCGCCCACTTCCACCATCCTCAGCAGCCCACCGGTCACAAGGATCATGAGCCATGGCCGCCATCTGGGAATCTGGGAATATCTAGGAATCAGAGAACACAAGGGTTCGATAGGGTTCGTATGGTTCGTCAAGGTTTAAGAAGATTCGGTAGACAAAAGGCATTTTGAAGGGGGAGGAAAGCAAACACACTCAACTGTTTGCTTCACTTCCCGTTTGTGATGTGTTGAAGTATTTGCAAGCCCAAGCTTCAGCTTTAACTTTGTCTCAAACTTCAATCCGGTAACAACGAAACTTTCCCGTGGATCTCTAGACCTCTTGCATCAACTACCCCGTGACTCCGCCCTCAAACAGAGAACACCATGGAACGTGACCACTTGTCCATTCAGCATCATACAGCTATCAAGCATCTGATGTTCAGTATGGTGACAGCCGCAACGCCTGCATCTCAGCCTCCCTGGAGAGTTTAAGCCCCAACGGAACGGAACATAGCACCTTACAGCAGCTGCAGAAAGAAATGTAAAAAATGTAAAAGCCGTGCCATTTGGGTATGTCTTATAGTAGATCACATGCTGTATTGCACTCATGCTGTTTTCATCGCACTTTATCACGCAGGATAATTTTGACTGGGGAATCCAAAGAAGGTTGCAGCAAAATAGTCCGAACCATTTTGACAATATTAAACAGTTCAAAAGTATGCACCATGTAGTGCGAAGTCCAGACGAGATGCGCACACGGGCAGTTGTTGCAATTCATGCCTTGGCAATGGGTTTGGGTTGAGAGCCTGCGGGAAGAACACTGTGGATGGACGAAACACACATCCTGCTAGGAAATCAAACAATTTTCCAAAATATGAAAATAGCAGTCCATGCTTGTCTTATTGTCCATTCTATTTCCAGGCGAGCTTCGTGGCATGTTCATTGGGTCCAAATTCCCCAGATCCTTGTCACGAGTCTTCGGACTCAATGTGATGGCTCTGGTCCATGGGCTGTAGACTTCCTTGCCAACTTGCAGTTTGCCAATGATCCTCACCAGGAAACTTCTGCCTTCGGGCATGTTTTGGATGGAGCCAGAGGTGTCCCGGCCCATATTCACGCGTTTCACCGTGGCATCCTTCGCGGGCTTCAGATCCTTGTCGTTGGCCTTCGGACCAGCGCGGTCAAGAACCATTTCGATGAAAAACTCCCGACACATCTCCGTGGTGGTCCACTTCAGTTCCTGAGTCACTGTGTGTGTGGATCGCATATGATTAATCCATATTAATCCCTTCTCCCTATTATTACTAAAACTCCCCTGAATAATAAAAACTACCCCAGATTAATGTTTTGGAAAATTTCAGATTGGTCAATTTGACTTTTAATTGATACCCTTCAGAAAACTATTTAAAAATCAAGGTCCATTTGAAGATTCTACCCCCTTAACAATAAAAACTAGTTAACACGGGTTGATTTTTATTGGGGTCCTATTGTTAGAATCACACATTTTCGTCTTTTTTTTAAAATAAGGTTTTTGATTATTAGGGGAAAGCTTCGAAATCCAATTGGCAATATTTTAATTAGGTTCTAAAAAGGAATCTATATAATCGATTTTGAAATCACAAATGTTAGTTTTCTTAATCAAGGTTTTAGATTTAATATTGGAGCCAGCTTCTCCCCAGAATATTAAATACCCCGTTACTATATAATAATAATAATAGAAACTGCCCCTAGGTTTTTTATTGGGGGGGAGGGGGGGACGTTTAATATTAGGGTGAAGGGATTAGCAAATAGTAGCAAGATTATTGGAACTGTGCAATCTACAAGGTGATTGCAGTGTTCACCAGCTCCAAACGATTCCAAAAGGGTGAACATCCAGCTGTTCACAGGACAAGACTCGAGGCATTCTTCGAACTGTTCTCCCATTTCGACCTGACAGCAAGAGTGCTGAGTTGATGAGTTGATTTTGTCCCGAACTTTTAGTTTAGGATCCACTCTTATTATAATAATTTATGATATATTGTTATAGAATGTTATAGATAGAATACTTCATCTTCAATCAACAACCTGGGCATCACACCATCCACACCTGAATAGCCAACTCCGCATCTGCAGAGACTCCCACTTTGGGCTTTGGAGCAGTTGCTCCGCGTCGTGCTTCACTGGCTACTCCAGTCCGCATTCTGTCCTCTTGGTGGTCCCAAAGGTACCAGGAAATGCGTTGGCGATTACGCCATGGCCGAATTCAGTGGCCACATGTGGCCCTGTCGCATTTCTTCGATTTTGGATGATTTACAATTTATATTGATTTATGAATGTCTGATCACATCTGCAAGGGAACTTCCTGGCAGAGCTATGCTGCTCAGTGTTGCATTGCTACTGTAGTCGCTACCGTTGGGCAAGTCTTGCAATTCGAACATTGTCGCAACAAATCATCTCGAACATATTGGAATTATTTGGAATTATTATAATATGGAACCATCAGCGCCAGCATCGGAGAGCCCTAAACTTCTGTATATCCATTTGAGCAGCGAACAATGCTGAGACAAAAGAGGCCACCATATCCCACCTACAGCCTTCCACTCTTGGAGAAGCATGAAGAAAATTGCAACCAACAAGTTGGATCAATGCTGCGCAGATTTGCAATTCTGGCAAAATAATAATGTTTCTGGTGATCGCAATAGCTTCTCCGCATCCTTACCCTCCAGCGCTGCTGTTTCAACATACCCGCGACTTTTTCTCATGTAGCCTTAGACTCTTAGATGTACCCCCAGATTGGCCACAGGTTCTACCAACTGTTCTGTTAAGAGGGAGGACGCTGCCATTTTGGAAAACTGTGGTGGAGCCAACCCAAACCAAGCAGGCTGCAAGATTCCAACTATCGTGAGAATGCAGGCATTCCTCGGACACTATTCTGGGTGGTGCATGGTGCAAGGTCAGAGGGCCGCAGCTATTTTCTCAGCGCTTGTTTTGCTGCAGGAGTGGGTCACCTCAGTAGGAGCTGCAAGAAGCGAGGGTGAGAGCAGATCGAAGGCTGTGCCTGAAGCTGAGTTTCGAAAGTGGCTCTCCCACCCCATCATCACCACAAACTTACGGCATTGCTGCTTCGTTTTGTATAGCAGTTACAGGAACGCACATACTAATGATGTCAATTTCTGGTACTTTCCTTCTAGCTCGAACGCCTTGAGTGCACTTGGATTGAGTATTCCCTGATGAAGCATGTTACCTTGTGGGCGGTATTTGACTGGTGGCACCGTCATCTGACCTGCATTGATCTATCTAGCATGGGCGGTATGACCTTGTGATCGCGGCAACTATCTGACGCCTCAGGAAGCATCCAAGCTGAAGTTCCTCCTGCAAGTGCTTCGGCTTCAACTCTTCCTTTCATTTCTTTTCTGCTTGGATCGTTGGTAGATCCTTGTGCCATTGGGTCAAAATGAACTTATTGAGTCGGCTGCAAATCAAAGATGGAGATTCGAAAATTGTGGGGAAGACACAGGTATCGCCTATACCATGCCATGCACAAGGGGAGGGTTTGGTCTCGCAACAGCTTCAGGCAGGGGCCTGGGGAGATTCCAAGCTGGCTCACCCTTGGCACAGTACAACTTAAAAGTGTGTCTTGCCGAAAATGGTCTTCGTCGCAAAGGGCATGTAGCTGTTTACCCGTCTGCACACACACAAATCCATAGTCATGCAGCTGATTTTGCAGAAGCTGACTAAGGACTTGATTGAAGAAATACGGCGTAATCAATTATTTTAATGTTTGATCTGGATCAGTCAATCAGTGCAGATCATGGATAATCAGCCCCCGGGAGAATACATATTATAATTTCTGGAGTAGCAGTGTCCGGGCACTGTCCCTGTACTGTGACACTACTGCTAGCAAGGCCAGCTATAGGGAAATAGATAAAGACTTTGTCATAAAGTCATCAGTCTGTGCGTTTCTCGAAAAGATAGTGTGCCACGATCCATTCATTTCCATCCTCAGACCAATCTTTCACAATCTTTCACAACATGCCAAATCCATGTACATCCGCAGATTCATTTTTTTTGACAACTAGCGCAACTAGTTACACAGTCGAGGGATACAGGGTAACCAGATTGAAGAGAAGACTCTAGACTCTAAACTCTAACTAGAAACATCTCCAAAACCTTGCAAACTCTCTTTGGAACCTAGCTGAGAATCACGAATGACGTGTCCAATCTCAGCGTTTGAACATCTGCCAAATCACACTGATCATTAATCCATCAATGATCATCTGCCGGTCAGACACAACTCCCTTAGAAAGGGCGCATCATTTAATTTGGGCGCGCGCTAAGTGATTAATACCAAAGACTCTAGAAAACAACCAACAATATCCAACAATTGCATGCTGCATGATCTTACAGTATCATTAAAGCTGCCTCACTCGCTCCAGCGTACCGGTGTGCTGCTAAGCTTCTCGATAGCCAAAGAGCTCTGCACATGCCATGAAGAACGCTCTCCATCGATTCCACCAGGCCTCTTCTGTACCTGCAACAAAATGATCACGGCAGAAGCCTCCTGTGGAGATCACAACTACATGAATAATTCATTGAATAAGATTGAATAACATATAGATATAGATATAGATATAGATATAGATATAATTAGATATAGATATAGATATAGATATAATATAATAAATTACATATATATATATAATATATATAATTATAATTAATTATATACAATATATGCGATCATTCGCAACATCGACATGCCGATCGATTTGGCCTTGTGCGACCCACCCAGCTCGCCTGGTGGATAGGTCTGTCGCAGCAACTCACGGACGCGGCTTTCATGACGATCCATGTTCTGCAGCCACGCTTCGGAAGTGAGCTGATAGTGACGCCCATTCACCTGAAATGGAGATGTGATGGAAATGTGAAATAAGACATGTAATGTAGAATAAGACATGGAAGATGGCAAATAAACTTCTTGATACCGGTATACGATGGTATATCCTGGTACATCTACAAGTATTTGTACACATGATGTATTGATGTATCATGATAGAATGATATATATATATATATATATTATGAAAATTCAATTGTTGCAAAAAAATATCAGCACCTTCATGTTGTTGGACAGCCAAATTGACGACTTCAATGATAGCTAGATTGTGAGATATGTTTATGGCAACAAACTGCTGACGAAGCACATGCCAATGGCGACGCAGTGTGAGGTCATCCTGGCAGCCAGCCCACTGTGCGCCCTAGACTTGTTCAGAGTACACTCACTGTTCAACTCCAAGTTTTCAATAATTTTCATCCACATTGCAGATCAGTCTCACGGGTCCCTGGTGGCACCTGAAAGTAGAATAGTAGATCAGCAGAAGGCATGGTGCCACCTGATGTTGGCCGCAACTTGCTGCAAGATCAAATATGTATAAATAATAAATATATAAATATAAATTCATAAATATGTCGGGGCACATTCGCCATGGTAGTTTTGGCCAATTTTGGCCAATGTCTCAAAAAAAATTGAACCTACAGTACTGTTTTTGAATCTGCCATCCCACAGACCATTGAGAAAGGTATCAGCTTTATCATCGAGGATCCCTCCAACCTGCGAAGAAATATCGCGCCATCCAATCTGCTTCTGTCTTGGCCACGAAGTGATAGGCAAAGCGCGCATGAGCCTAATGATGGTCGAGGATGGTTAGTTGGATTCTAGTGCTTGATTGTACAGACATGTACAGATCATGTACAGACTGTATACAGACTGTATTCGATTTAACACAATGGGACACCCAAGAGGTTTCAGGCTTCACCATCTTCTTGCTTTCTTTTGGATGCGATTCCGGTCTGCACTAGTCACATCTAGAATCTAGTCACTATAAATAGCTCCTGTATACAGGTGCTCTGCTGCTTTCAATAGCAATATCAAAATGACTGTCGATGGACCGTTGCATCATTTCTGAACCTTCTCATTAGTCCGTTGGGTGTCAGCAATTCGCAAAATGATGCAACATGTACACATATCATCACATATCTATAGATCTGCTGCTCACCCAACTTGTTGCGGCCGGGCACAAAAATGTGGACAAACAGCTTGCCACCCGGTCGCAGAACCTGCATGGTCAAGCTGCAATCATAGCTGCAACGTGATAATGGATCTTTCAACTTCGTGACAGGTTGTTGCAAATTCCATAAGATTTTCTCCTTCAAATTCTGCACTTCATTCAGGTGTTCACATGCCGGAGGTTTCATGTTGCCTCACAATGCCTCACATGTCTGACAAAGCTTCAATCATTTCAAGATGGACCATAGAGAGTCCATAGAGTAATTTCATTTCGCAACATTTCGTTCATTCATTGCCATTAATTAATTGCGACAAATGTGCCACCATGCTGCACCATGCTGTTTGTCACCAGCCTTGGAGACTCCTCTCAATAACAGCTGGTAGTTCTTCATATGTTCGAACATCTCCTTGAGTTTCAAAGGCCGGGACGGTCGGGTGCTCATGTGAAACCCAAGCAAAGCCTAATTCGATTTGACACCCCAATTCTAGCTTCCATATGCTTCCATATCATGGTTCCAGGATGTTCCAGGGAGGTTGATCCGAGCCTTTGTCTTGGAATGTCTTGGAACACAGAATAGATCAGAATAGTGTAGAATTGATTAGAATTGCATAGATGGCATAAATGGCTTCTGATCCGCTCTGGAACCATGTCCAGACTGAGATCGCCTGTCCCTTTGCGAAGCGTTTGCAAGAAAAATGAGACGCCGCTTTTTGTCTCCAAGTTTCGACGGAGCAAACACGGTCATATCCAGTGGCACCAGGTCGCTCGGCATGCAGCACTGGCAACGTTTCTTCCAAGCTGGTTGTGGACACATCACATGTGACCTGGGTGCGACAGGTGCGAGTATGTTCAATTGCAAGACAGCCTTCCCTCATTATTGGCATCACAAAAAGAAAAGAAGCGCCCAACATCACCCAACCCGCTGCCGGCGGCTGTAGAAAGGATGTAAGAAACTCACCTCAGCGACTGGTTCACTTTTTCTGATTGAGCAGGGGCCCTGACCACCCTGACGTTATTGAGGCCCTTCTTCTCCGCCTCTTGCAGAATCCAACCTTTTCCGGGGTGCTTTGAACAGTCACCGTGTCTTGTGCTCTCAACAAACATGCGGAATGCTTGCAATGTGGGAAGGACATGAGCCACAGCAAGCTGTCTAACGAGTGGGACCAACTCCTTCTATACCCCGAGACAACCCGAGCTTTCCCGCCTCGCTGCCCGTGCGAGTTTGACACCCCCACAACTAGAGAAGATGGCAACCGCTCAGCCAGAAACAAAGTGTTGGAGCCTTGGCCGAACAGCCTCAAGAGTTGCCAACCAGCTCAGAATGGGACATTTGGGACATTGACATCCCAAACCTGTTGGGTTCTGGAAGGTCGCAAAAGTGGAAGATTGTGGAAGTATTATGAAGCATCATCTCAAGCTCGCCCAAAAATATCCAAAAATCAAAGCATGTCTCAGAAAAGAACAAAATCCACACAAGAGTGGGCGACTCGACCGCAAAAACTAAGGAGGTTACCCCATCCGCAGCCAAGGTCTAGAATGGTCATGCCATCCTATGCGCACATTTGGTTCTGTCATGTTCCATCAAAATGAGTCTGCAAATAGCTTCAAACTTCCTTTCGTAAGGCCATTTCGAAGCAGTGGAGACCATATGATGGACAGCCCTGTGTATGAGCATTTATGTTTACTGTGATTTCTCCCTGACCGGTTGTCAAATTGGCAGTCCGACGGACAGACGCTCAAAGCTGGCTACTTTGTCACTCTAGCTGTAGGTAGTAATTAGACTTTGTACGCAATGCTGGCGAACGTCCCCCAACGTTGCAGTCAACTGTCATTCCCGCATGGAACTACGCCCCTCAACTGCTAGGGAAAGTCACCCCAACTTTTTCGCCCATTGTAAACGCCGCACGAAAATGAAAAAGTACAAAAAAAAACATCATCACAAATGTGCAAAACACCATGAGAACGCAAGTCACCCCAATGGTTTCAAACTATGGAACATTATTAACAAAATGACATGCACAATATCACAACACAATGTAAACGCATGATTCATGTATGTTTGGGTAAAACCTGATACTGTAATCACGATACGAGAGGAAGATGGTCAACCGACGGTCAACCTTGTTTCACTCTCAGCTCCAACATGCTCCAACCATATCTCGAGTCCTCCAATTCCGCTCTCTCGATATATTGCTCCAGTGATCGCTCTTCTGCATCCGGCAGCCTCAGAGTCAGAGCTACGAAGATCTGGGGACTCTTGACATGAACTTGGAGTACACCAGGGCTACCGGGGCAAACACAGATCAGGTAAACATAAAATTGGAGACCAGCTATCACTGGTACATACTGGTACTATCTGGTACTGTATTCTCTTGAGGTGGTTGAACAAGGGATGTCACAGGTGACTTTTCTCTGGACAAGCCAACAGACAAGCCACAGCACTAGCTGCCCGCAGCACTGGCTGCACTGGATCAGACAAGGTTCAAATACAAAACTGTCACCACTCCTTTGGATGAATAAAACACGTTCATATACGTTCTATCATGTTCTATCTGCAATCGTCGTACATCTGCAGCGTGGTGTTGATCTGGTTCGACGTGGAAAAGCTAACTTGCCGTGAACCAAGGCCAAGCAGCAGCTCACCTGCCGAAGCAGCAAGATGCCAGCGTGCTTCCTACAGGATCTACAAGACACAACATATCACAAAATATCTAGCAACTGTAGCAATCCAATTCAACGCCTGCAGCTCCTTCAGCGATCGCACTGATGCATCCATGTGAACCCACATCACAGGATGTCACACGTCATAAATGATTAGAGATGATTAGAGTGTGGTAGAGTCAAAGAAAATTGCAATGCTTAGATTTATGTTGTTCACCTGAACTTACCCTAACCACCGCTGCATCAGTAGCATTGCGTCCTCAGGGTAGACGCAGCCAGAGTACTTCTTTCTGGGACCTAGCCACAAATGGTAGAGCTCCGCTGGCACCTCATCCATTCGTAGCAGAAAACTCTGCGGTTGGCTTAGCCAAGCATTGCCATCTAATCAGAAGAACCGATAGTCAAAAATGTACCAAGGCCACAGGAAGCGTGCGTCCTCAAATCAACAATAATACCAGTCGCTCATAGGTGCTTTCAAAATTCTGTTTCAGTCCAGGGTCACCAACCACTGTCAGATGCCAAACACGGCACTATCTTGTTCCCTCTTGCAAGTCTTGCAGTTTTGGGTACCTTCTGTTCCATTCCACAAGGTCCCATTTTGGGATCTATTGCCAAGTTTCATCTCAGGATATCTGGCCACATTGGCCACAAGCTATAGATTTTTAATAGAATGCATGTCTCCAGATTCACTTTCTGATATTTTTACAGTCGCGAAGCCTGACTCCATCAACATCTGATCTTGAAAAGCAACGCCAACAAGAACTGGAACTTGCCCTGCTGCTCACTATTTGGGATGCCCATCCATGCATAGCCCATCATAACCCATCCATGCAATTTAGAATGGCACCTCGTAGTGCTGTTCATTTGCCTTCGTCGTGCAAATTGCAATGGGCATGGTGCGCAAAGTCTCGATAAAGTCCAACTTGCTTGATTGCCTGGGGACGTTGTGGTACATGGATGGAATGTCTGCTGTGTGCCGTGTCAAGAAAAAGTAAGACAGAGACATCTCGCAATCAAACACAACGCTATGGCAAGGCTTTGAACAACCGCTCAAGAAACAACTCGAGATCATTTCACGCAGGTTGCTGTCCCTCTTGATTCTGTAAGAGTCCTTTCCTATTTTTTCTATTTTTTTCTTATTTTCTCTCAACTTTCTGTGGGAACAACACCATCCACACTGGCTAAAATTCAATTTCCTCAGGGAGCCGCACACTTGAATCTCCTCTGCAGAAGAAAGCGCTTCCACAGTCAACACATCAAGGCCGAATTGCATAGACTGAACACAGCCACGACCTTCTTCTTCGCGGATCTTTTGGGCCTGAGTTGGCTGGATCCATTTTTCCGCAATTTCTTCATCACTAAATCCCTGTCTCAAATGTGACTAGTTCCATCCACTCCAAGCTGAGTCCTTTACTAGTTTCATGCGAATGCCGATTCGTACCAGCCAATCTGGCACTCGGCCCTCATCCAGCATACGTTGCGCATAGGCAAACGCAACCGCCATCACTTTCCTCAGCTACCAGAGGAAGCAAAATGATGATAGATGATTATATAGATGATGGATATACAGTGCGGAAGACATGGGAAGACAGTAATTTGGATGACGGCAGAGGCAGAGCTAAAAAATGACCGCAGAACATCGCAGAACTATTCTCAGGATGAAACACACGTGTGGATGGCCGAATTTGTTCCGACATGTTCCAACAAGTTTCCCCTTCAGCTGGGCAATGTTGCCCTGTACGCTGCCAGACATTGTGCTGGATGAGACACCTACATCAGGCTATGATGAGCAAGGGCTGCGTGTTCTGGGTGGGCAAGTTTCAGAAACAAACCCTGAACTCTCCACTCGTTTGCACACTTGAGGAACTTCAATTGTTGGACACAAACTTCAATTGAATTGCTCAACTGAGCGGTGGCCAAAACCCCTATGTCATTCTCTTCTAATCCTACTTGTCTTCCGCGCGGTCGTCCGCACTGCTTCCGTGACCACAGTTTCAGCTTCCGCGGATGATTGGTAAGTTGATTCTGCTTCCGCAGAGCTTCCGCGAAAAGAAGCTCGTCATGAAATCGTCTTCCGCAGCCCGCGCGCTTCTGCGGACGTGGGTTTCACTTCCGCAAGCCCAACTTAGTTTCATCCCCATATATAATAATATATATATAATTATTATATATATATGGGTCTGGCTCAAAAAACGGGTATGGATCGTTCCGCGGTGATCCGGACGTATGGAACGAGGAGTTGTCAGCAAGCGTTTTGATCCGGACCTTGTCATAAGGGCTTACATGGATATGAATATAAATATATTATTTAGATATCAATATAAATATAGAAATAAATACATACGTATATAATATAAATACATATGCACATATCTGTATAATGATTTCATCAGAGGCATGGCTGCAACATAGAGAGGATGTGGGATATATCATGATATATCTGATATGTTGAATACACTTGAATATCAACAAATGGTGGTGATGGGGGATGAGTCCTACATGGCATGATTCGGGTATGGAACGGGTATGGATCGGGGTATGGAACGAAATGGACCTGAGTTTCTAAAATTTCTGGCTGATTGTTTTGGTGGTAGATTCAAAATCCAATTCAATCCTTTTGCTGGAACGGAAAACAATCGTGAATAACCCTTGGCTGATTTGGTGGATATATTGTGGTGTTCATAACCCCTCACAAACCCAAGTATACTTTAAACTGCAGATTGCGAGCCCTCATACTAACACAAACATAAATTCCTTTATGGCAGCAATAGCGACAAACCAGCTCCCTTGGTCATACATTTCGTGGATACCGTGAATTCCATTGCCCCTGAACCTATATGTGCATTTAAAAACGTGTATGTATATATATATATGTATATGTGAATCTATCTATATGTAGATTTACTTATGTATATCTAAATATATATATATATATATCCATCTACATTTTTTCAATCTGAATATATGTGTGTATATACATATATATAAATTAGATCACATGCATCAAATAGCTGGCCCTGACCCCTCACTCAAAACGCAATGCGTGAAACACAAACTGAAGAACCCCATAGGTACAACTCAGAAACAAAACCAATACATGCCCAGGATTGGCAATTACTGAGGTATGGATCATGGGTATGGATCATAGGTATGGATCATGTCCTCTGGCGTATGGATCATGGGTATGGATCATGGGGTATGGATCGCCATGTGGTCCCGGGGTATGGATCGGAACCTTACAGTTTGAGCTGCAGCCATATATATAACTTTCTTACTTGGAGGTTTTTGACGCTGCTCAACTGTTTAAGAACACGCGTTATTGTTTTGACTGCTGGATTTGTTCAAGTTCGACTTCATCCTTGCCCCCAAAATTCGGAGAAAGGCCCATCATTGATTTTGCAAGAATGAGTTGGAAGTATCTGTGTGGACATCTGTCGACAATAAGATCACCATAGATATCACCTGTACCTTCGAAAAGGATGCTCCAATCTCCCGGACTGCCTGTTCGGCTTCCGTGCAACGCATCCCCATCGAAGGAGGAACCCAATTTGGCGGTTGCAGCGACCTGGGCATATCAGCTCGTTTGGTGATCCGACCGATGTAATATAATATATATATATATTGTATATATTATGCATCATATATACTATAACAATTTATAATCAATATGTATCATATTATATAATAATTGTATTTATCTGTCACATATCTGATACCAGCGATCCAGTCCCCATCATGCTGCGGCTTTGTCATGGACTGGCATGATGGAAGAGCTGCGTACATAAATCATAGAAAGTTGATGAAAGTTGCATTTCAAAGAATTTCACCCATCTAATGTCGTCTCCATGTTGGGTTTTTTTGAAGCTTTTTGCTGTCAGTGCCAAGAAGGGGATGTCTCAAGGCAAGTATTACTCGTTATTGAGCCGAAATATGTAGAACAAAGTACCCGGTTTAACTCAATGGACCGATTGGCTGCAAGAGGTACAAGTCCAACAGCTCTCCAGGGTCACAGAAGTCTGAGAGCCCAGACATCAGCAGACCCAGGATCTTTCTCAAAACAAAGCCTTGGAGAAAACACTTCCGGGAAAAGGAGATTGGCTGTCTGAGCCTAGGCAATGCAGAAGGTTACCTCAATCAAATTCCGGTTTGTATAATTACCATTTTAACATATAGTAAAGTTATAAAGCAAGGTATTGTATAAAACATACTATACAGTAACACTCAAGGTCTACCAACCATACAATCACAAATTCCATGAAATTCCACTCTTCCTTTGGGCAGCGCCTGATCCGTGTCCCTCTGCTTCTAAGGGGCTGCCAAACATCGATGTGTTTACGACGGAAGCCAGTCTCACAGTAGGTGAAGTAGTAGTGCCATCTGTGCAGGCGATTCTGCGATTCTTTCTGTAGGCGATATTTTGGATATATTATGTGAAGTTAAGATAATAGATGATAAATGATGATACAAGCACCGTACTTAAGTCACATCAGGCGGGAAAAGTCACATCATCCCCATGGCACGGCGGCGATACGGAGAAGTCACATCAGGTAGTGGAAAGTCACATCAGGGAAGAAGAATCACCATGGCACAGCCTGTTTCATCCATACTTGGAGATGTAATTAGTTAAAAATAGCCGAAGCATTGCGCACAGCGATGATTTTGAAGGGCACAAGTTAATACAAACAAATTCTCGGCAGCTAATCCTATTGGATTTGAATATATTATATTGATGTCCTGCGTCGCGTGACCAAATCAAACCCCTATTGGTACAGCCTCAAATTTCTTGCAATGCAAGTGGGTTAGCTGTAGCAAATCCTATTGGCAGGGCTATGATCTAGGATGATATAAGGATATGGGGGCCCCTTGTTTTCCGCAACCAAATCTATGGCTGGCGCGATGTGCATCAATGTCGTGGACAGCTCTCAAGAAGTTTGTTGTCCTATCCACCCAGGAATTACGAATTGGAAAAAAACCTTCATTCCATTGCGGGCGGAATTGTCGGTGCTCCGTCTGCGCCGTCTGTTGTGTCTGTTCCGTCTTGCGCCGTCTTGCCGTCTGCGCCGTCTTGCGAGATGGTGCGAGATGGCGCAGATGGTGAGCACAGCGGCACAACCGCGCTATGCGACCGCAATGTTTCATTCCAACCAGCCAGAAATATTCCCTCTCTCTGCTGGTGTCTCCCGCCCGTACCTCCCGTCAGCGCCAAACAAGGCGACCGAGACTGTTATTTTCTGTTTCGGCAAAATGTTTGCACGAGCGGCAGCAGCAGCAGGAGGAAGCAGCAGCAGCAGCAGGAGGAAGCAGCAGCAGCAGGAGGAAGCAACAGCAGCAGGAGGAAGCAGCAGCAGCAGCAGGCGGAAGCAGCAGGCAACCAGCAGCAGGCCAGCAGCAGCAAGCAGCAGCAGCAGCAGCATGCAGCAGCATGCAGCAGCAGCATGCAGCAGCATGCAGCAGCATGCAGCTGCAGCAGCAGCAGGCAAGCAGCAGGCAAGCAAGCAGCAGCAGCAGCAGCAGCAGAAGCAGCATGCAGCAGCATGCAGCAGCAGGCAAGCATGCAGGCAAGCAGTGGGCAAGCAAGCAAGAAAGCAGCAGGCAAGAAGCAGCAGGCAAGAAGCAGCAGCAAGCAAGCAGCAAGCAAGCATCAAGCAAGCAAGCACCGGGCAAGCAGCAAGCAAGCAAGCAAGCAATCAAGCACGCAAGCACGCAAGCGCGCAAGTACGCAAGCACGCAAGCACGCACGCACGCACGCAGGCACGCAGGCACAGCAGGCAGCGCAGCAGCAGCAGCAGCAGCAGGCAAGCAGCAGCAGCAAGCAGCAGCAGCAGCAAGCAGCAAGCAGCAAGCAGCAGCAGCAGCAAGCAGCAAGCAGCAAGCAGCAAGCAGCAGCAGCAGCAAGCAGCAGCAAGCAGCAGCAAGCAGCAGCAAGCAGCAGCAAGCAGCAGCAAGCAGCAGCAAGCAGCAGCAGCAGCAAGCAGCAGCAAGCAGCAGCAAGCAGCAGCAAGCAGCAGCAAGCAGCAGCAAGCAGCAAGCAGCAACAAGCAGCAGCAAGCAGCAGCAAGCAGCAGCAAGCAGCAGCAAGCAGCAACAAGCAGCAGCAAGCAGCAGCAAGCAGCAAGCAGCAACAAGGAGCAGCAACAACAGGCAAGCAGTAGGTGAGCAGTAGGTGAGCAGCAGGTGAGCAGCAGGCAAGCAGCAGGCAAGCAGCAGGCAAGCAGCAGGCAAGCAGCAGGCAAGCAGCAGGTAAGCAGCAACAAAAAGCAGCAACAAAAAGCAGCAACAAAAAGCAGCAAGCAGCAGCATGGAGCAGCAAGCAGCAGGCAAGCTGCAGGTGAGCAGCAACAGGTAAGCAGCAGCAAGCAGCAGCAAGTAGCAGGCAAGCAGCAGGGAAGCAGCAGGGAAGCAGCAGGCAAGCAGCAGGCAAGCAGCAACCAGCGTTTGCCCCCTTGAAAGATTGATCAAATATATTTTTTTTAATCAATGCAATAAACAAAATTGAACTTTTTCCAGCCGCACGGCCCCAAAACAATGAACTTGTTCAATTACTAAAAGTTGTGGTGATGCCAAACTTGAACTTTTTCCAGGCGCACGGCCTCCCGATACGACTTTTACAAGCTGATACGACTTAACGCTAGCGCTAGTAATAGGCAACAATAGGTTTCTTATCTGGGTTGACATTTGGGGGGAGACCTTGTGCAGGGACTTTGTAGCTACAATCCAGCGGGTCACAGGGTCAGATCCTACAAAATGGAGTCCCGGATGGTTTCTTTCTGTTTCTTTCTGTTTGGAGTTTGGAGATTTCAAATTCGGGATGTGTTGGGATGACAATCACCAATGAATGGGCCCGACCACAAGAGTGGCCTTTGCTCACATGCGGAATCAAGTAGAGAGGTTTGACCAATGAAATGTGATTTTATGTGATTTTCACATATCTGGACATCATCCAAATGTCGATAGCGTTCATTTTTCGTCTGCGGGAGTATAATAATCAATGAGCAACATCAAACCTGCTCGCGTACAGACTTGCTGAAAGGCAGCTATAGCTTTCTGGATGTTCTGTCATGCTCTGTCTGGTTTCAAGACACACACCATCATCATCGCCTTCGCAGGAAACGGTCGGTGAATCCTTCCCCACTGGATCGGTCAATGAGGCTACAGATCCTGAGCCGGCAGGCTCTTGCAAACCCGGCCACACACATCCAAGCATGAAAGCACCAAACTTGTAGATCACCAATTCATGCCAATTCTATGTTGGTTGAAGAGTCACAAGTTGGGATGATTAAGATATAATATTGTAACATTGTATCCTTATATATTCTATGTACGCACATATGTATCTGTATCTGTATAAACACGATTGTAATTTAATACGTACGTATACGTACACATGATTCTGCAATGTTTATAAATGAATGATACCGGCCTCCAATTCGACAGTCAAAGTAAAGAGCGGCTCCATAATATGGCTAGCAAACTGGTACAAAAGAACCTGTCCTGAAAAGAAACTCTTTAGCAAGGAGTTAGTGTAGGATGTCTTTTACTGTCTTTGACACATTCAAGAAATTTCAAGAAGACATATACCTTTTCCAAATGAAACATAATCATAATCTTTGTCAAGAAAAGAAAAAGGAGTGCTATAAAACTTGATCAGAAACCCAACAGAAATCAAGACCAACCGCAACCGCCAACAGACCAACTTACCAGCAGAAGCTCTGCGTCTCGTGAAGTTCAAAACGCCGTCTCCATTCGTTCAAGGTCTCGGCATATGACTGTCCCAAAGAAAACGGCGCTGAGCACTCACGCAGTGATGTCCTGAAAGAGTCTTATCTCAGATCTTGGATTGCCACGTTTTCCGCAAATGCAAACTTACATAGCTTTACCCATTTGATCCCATTTGGATTATTGTCTGGATTCTTGAAAATCAGCTGTTACAGTACTTGATGATTCTGTCCTCCCCACTCGGCAAGCCCTTCGAATCTCCGCCAAGCATGGGAGATGGCCCCCAGGGAAGATCTTTTCGCGGATGAAGTCAGTGCCCTTCCTCGCGCGTTCGATGGATTATGATTGGAGAGCTACGTTGCTGGGATGTTGCTTCCTGAAGTTCGATATTGCTTGGTTACTCCACCATGGTGGGCACCCACTACACTGGCCTGTATCCTCAAGCCTACCAAACCTACCGAACCGCAAGCCAAATAAACACTGGCCTGTATGTTGCCAACCCAAAGCATGCCAAGCCAACTAAAGCCATGCCGGCCATGCCCAACTGCATCCAAATGCAATTAATTGCAACCCATGTGTTCCCACCATTGTGGCTGTATATTGCCGATCTACAGCGTCCCAAAACCACCTCAGAACAATCCGTTCCCGCCACACTGGCCTGGATGTTGCCATGCCAAACCAACTAAAGCCATGCCGGCCATGCCCAACTGCATCCAAATGCAATTAATTGCAACCCATGTGTTCCCACCATTCTGGCTGTATATTGCCGATCTACAGCGTCCCAAAACCACCTCAGAACAATTCGTTCCCGCCACACTGGCCTGTATGTTGCTAACCTACAGCATGCTGAACTAACCCAAGCCATGCCGGCCATGCCGAACGGTCATGCCCAACTGCATCCAAATGCAATTATTACAACCCACTTATTCCGATCACACTGGCTATATATTGCCGACCTACAGCACCCCAAGCCGCCTCAGAACAATCCGTTCCCACCACACTGGCCTGTATGTTGCCAACCTACAGCATGCTAAACCAACCCAAGCCATGCCGGCCATGCCGAACGGCATCCAAATGCCATTTCAACCCATGTATTCCCACAAAACTGGGTGCACATTGCCGACCTACAGCGCCCCAAGCCGCCTCAGAACAATCCGTTCCCACCACACTGGCCTGTATGCTGCCAACCTACAGCCATGCCGGCCATGCCGAACGGCATCCAAATGCAATTAATTGCAATGTATTCCCACAAAACTGGGTGCACATTGCCGACCTACAGCGCCCTAAGCCGCCTCAGAACAATCCGTTCCCACCACACTGGCCTGTATGTTGCCAACCTACAGCATGCCAAGCCAACTAAAGCCCTGCCGGCCATGCCCAACTGCATCCAAATGCAATTAATTGCAACCCATGCAATCCCACCATTCTGGCTGTATATTGCCGATCTACAGCGTCCCAAAACCACCTCAGAACAATCCGTTCCCGCCACACTGGCCTGTATGTTGCCAACCTACAGCATGCCAAACCAACTAAAGCCATGCCGGCCATGCCCAACTGCATCCAAATGCAATTAATTGCAACCCATGTGTTCCCACCATTCTGGCTGTATATTGCCGATCTACAGCGACTCAAAACCACCTCAGAACGATCCGTTCCCACACTTGCCTGTATGTTGCCAACCTACAACATGCCAAACCAACTAAAGCCATACCGGCCATGCCCAACTGCATCCAAATGCAATTAATTGCAACCCATGTGTTCCCACCATTCTGGCTGTATATTGCCGATCTACAGCGTCTCAAAACCACCTCAGAACGATCCGTTCCCACACTTGCCTGTATGTTGCCAACCTACAGCATGCCAAACCAACTAAAGCCATGCCGGCCATGCCCAACTGCATCCAAATTAATTGCAACCCATGTATTCCCACCATTCTGGCTGTATATTGCCCATCTACGGCGTCCCAAAACCACCTCAGAACAATCCGTTCCCACCACACTGGCCTGTATGTTGCCAACCTACAACATGCCAAACCAACTAAAGCCATACCGGCCATGCCCAACTGCATCCAAATGCAATTAATTGCAACCCATGTGTTCCCACCATTCTGGCTGTATATTGCCGATCTACAGCGTCTCAAAACCACCTCAGAACGATCCGTTCCCACACTTGCCTGTATGTTGCCAACCTACAGCATGCCAAACCAACTAAAGCCATGCCGGCCATGCCCAACTGCATCCAAATGCAATTATTTGCAACCCGTGTGTTCCCACCATTCTGACTGTATATTATTTATGTATATTGCCGATCTACAGCGTCCCGAAACCACCTCAGAACAATCCGTTCCCTCCGCACTGGCCTGTATGTTGCCAACCACAGCATGCCAAACCAACTAAAGCCATGCCGGCCATGCCCAACTGCATCCAAATTAATTGCAACCCATGTATTCCCACCATTCTGGCTGTATATTGCCCATCTACGGCGTCCCAAAACCACCTCAGAACAATCCGTTCCCACCACACTGGCCTGTATGTTGCCAACCTACAACATGCCAAACCAACTAAAGCCATACCGGCCATGCCCAACTGCATCCAAATGCAATTAATTGCAACCCATGCAATCCCACCATTCTGGCTGTATATTGCCGATCTACAGCGTCCCAAAACCACCTCAGAACAATTCGTTCCCACCGCACTGGCCTGTATGTTGCCAACCTACAGCATGCCAAACCAACTAAAGCCATACCGGCCATGCCCAACTGCATCCAAATGCAATTAATTGCAACCCATGTATTCCCACCATTCTGGCTGCATATTGCCCATCTACGTCGTCCCAAAACCACCTCAGAACAATCCGTTCCCACACTGGCCTGTATGTTGCCAACCTACAGCATGCCAAACCAACTAAAGCCATGCCGGCCATGCCCAACTGCATCCAAATGCAATTAATTGCAACCCATGTGTTCCCACCATTCTGGCTGTATATTGCCGATCTACGGAACAATCCGTTCCCTCCGCACTTGCCTGTATGTTGCCAACCTACTATATGGCCGACCTACAAGCCATGCCCAAAACACATGCCGTCTTACTCCGACCAGGCAGACCTGTGTTTCTTGGACCCATAGCGCCCCAAAGGCACCCCAAACCAAGGACTTTCAGTCTTGGGTACAGGTTAGCCAAGCAAAAACTTGTGACCTGCAACCTGACCCCACGCTTGGTTCGGAACCTGGGCAGCTTCCTTCAACTAATCTCCACAACTTGCCCACTTCATCCTTTCTCCAAGTGCCTGTAGGTCTCGTAGCGTTCATCAGGGACGCAAATGGCCTGGATGGCAACCTTCCCTCCGGGCTTCAAGCACCTTAGGAAATCTGCAGTTGGACGTCGCTGGACGCGAAGTGTGCAAAGTCCCAATAATACTCATGATAATCTGAGAATCATGATAGGATTGCATACAAAATCATACGTACAAACATGATGGACGTTATATGGACATTGATGGGTGCTTTTGTATCTTCTGTTGAGAAATCAGACAGACACATGCCAGGAACATGTCCAGCTGCCCAGTTTTGAAGTCAAATTGCTCATCGAAGGCCCCAAAATAGCCTGGCATATAGTCGTGACCAACCGCTTCGATCATCTCCACGCTCACCTGTGGACACTCTGGGATACTGTAGGGTGCTCAAGTGCTCAAGGTTGGGAATCCAACATGAGTCAAAGAATAGTCAAAAATAGTCAAAATATATCAAACTATTGGAACATGGAGGGAACTGCAGGCTGTTCACCTTTGTTGGGTATGACGGTAGTACTCTGTCTTGGAGGCTGTTGAAGATCTGTTTGCTTCATCCCGACAAAATGTTGCTGAATGTTTCAGTCAACTTTGCAATGAAGAACTCACAATTGGAAGATATTATTGCAACGTTGTAAAAGTATAGCCCTTTGTTGAACCAAGGCACTGCTTTGGAAAAGAACTCTGGGCCAAACTTCGCCTCGCAACCCATTGACCGTCAGTTTCACATGATTCGGCTCGTCCACAAGACCCTTCCAGTAGTCGGTCTAACAATTTGTGAGGCTGCTTGCCCTCAACAGCCGCACTCGCCTGAAAAAGTGTTCCCATCTTTTTGACCGCGAAGACCGTAACTTGCTACTAGCCATGATCCCTTTAAATCTATTTTGAGCAAAATATCAGAACATTTGAGAGGATGCATCAAAACGCATTCTATCTTGGAAATGTCCTGCACATTTTTTCAATGTAGTGTGCACCACAATCATGACTGCAATATAATAATATACATCAATATACTGCGATACACTGCGATCAAGTGTCTGCTACGTCCCGATAGTCGCAAAAAATGATGCGCACACGATCTTGCACACCTGCTGCAACTACACCTGAAGGTGAAGCGGCTTGCCCAACTGTTACCATGTTACGAGTGTCTGGACACATCAAGCACATGTCAATCATATCAGCTCAAGTTATCTCAAGTTTGCACTAACGCTAAGTCTGATAAGTCTTATATATCTGTTCTCAACCAAACTGCTTTTACTTCTAGCAGTTAGCACAAAAAGTGCTGCTTCTGCTGGTGTCTTCAATGCTGACGTTTGCATCACTCCTCTCTGCATCAGACTGATCCCATCTGTATGAATTAGAGGCCTCCATCTTCTACCCACAACCACAAGCATGACACATGGCACACATTCATAGCCAGGTTACGCTGACGTGCCAACTCCAGCTGTTGCCTCAGGCTTCAGAGCTGGTGGAATGTAGAACCACTTTGTTGCATCATTTCACCTCTCAACACTCCAAGAAACTGCACCTTGTAGTCGTTCAAAACCATTCAATCATGCAAAAGTTATTCAATCCCTTTTGGAAGTCGGATATGCTTCTACTAGTCTACTATCTTCTACTCGAAAAGGTCTACCGATGTGTACCCTTTGAACCACCACATCCAAACATCACGGCGTGTCACATGTCGCCCGTGTTGACATGACATATCAGGAAATCAGTGTGAAGGTATTGCCTCTTCAAGGGGCACCAATCCAAAGAGTGCTGTCATTTCTCGCCTGGAGATGGTGATAGCTGTCCAACCGCCCAGTTCTGGGAAGCGCTTCGCTGCCCTTAGCGAACATAGTGGGCTCAGCTGAAGATCCATCATCCTCCATATCTTTTGTCACGTAAAACATCGTAAAACCATGTAAAACCAATCAACAATATTCAAAACTTATATATCAAAACCACGGCTACTGACGGCTACTGGATACTCATGTCCATACTTCCATGATCTTCCATGCTCCCTGGTGGTTTTAGTCTCTGTAGTCACTGCCCAGGCACCGGATGGCCAAACTGCCCCAACCGCAGCCGACTTCAAGGACTTGGTCCCCTGGAACCAACTCCAAAAGATCCAACAAGCGATCGATCTTCCTGGGAGAATCAGGAATCAGATGGAATCAGGAAATATCAGATGAATCACATGTGGATCATGTAATGATCATGTAATGATCATGTGGGCTGATGTTGTTTCATGTTGTTTCTAGGAGACATAAAGCAAAGGGACAGCTAAGAGAGCTGAGAGCTACAAGTAAGAGCTGACATCACCAATCGTACATCATACCGTGTGGCTGCACAGTGGACAAGCATAAGTAGAAGTGGTAGGAATCCACGGCAGAGTGTGAATCACTTTAAGCGTGCATTCCACGCATGCCACTATCAAATTTCATGGAAAAGTACATTTCATGGAAAAGTGACACGGACGGCTAGTGCGAATAAAAGGAAAGCTTGGGGTGCATTTGTTTTTGATCTACAGTATCTGAATTTGCTCATGTCTGTTTCCAAAGCATGTTGGAGTCGCTCTGCCAATTTGTCTGCAAGATTTTGCAAGTTTGTTATATTCTGATTGCACTAGTTTACCTGACTCACATGTTTCTTACTGGAGCACAGAACTAAGTGACTCCACCTGACCCTTCCATGCCCATCGCCAACATTTGATTCAGAAAACTTCTGCTGTGAGAGCTCAAGGAAATCTGCGCCGTCGTCATTTTCCTTGAGCAAGGACTCGTGGAGTTGAAAGCTCAAAACACAGCATCCAAAAACATCTTGCTTCATGAATGTCTGCCATTGCTCTCTGAAGGTATCAAAATGTCGCACAATTATTCAAAAATCGGTATCGTACAACAAATACTGGCAATTCACACCTCTAGTTCAAAAGCAAAAGTTCCGTGGGCTCAGTACGCATATGATCGCCTTTGCCTTGAGGGATTGGTTATATGCTGATCATAGAATTGAATAGGTGCAACAAGTGATTATGGCCACCACGATGGTCGGTCAATGAAAGGAGACATTTGTCTTCCTGATGTTTTAAGCTTTTCATTCCACTGTGAACAGTGTTATTCAAATCGCGTTGCCATCAACTTGCCACCAAAAGCCAGCAAATATAGTACTGTAAATCATATCTTCACATGGTCAATACGAGCTTGGCGCGCTGTCTTGTACCACCATCAACAAAAACGTTTTGATGGTGTGCTGAGCTGCAGGAGTTGGGTTCGCCGCCTTGAGCTTGAAGACCTCTTCATCATACAGTCCTTGGCCATGGCCAGAGAGGACTAGTCTGAGTAGCAAACATTTGATACGGATTGCGCACCACATACACAATCACAACGCACTGCAACAATCACTGCAACAATCACTGCAACCCTTTGCTCGAGGCTGTTTTCCAACAGAAGGGCTCCGGCTCCCATGAAAATTTGCAGCTTGGTCCAAAACTAAAGACCCAGTTTCCAGAGGAGTAGGTCATGTCTTTGCTGAGAAAGAGCTTGAACATGTCGTTGGACAGGTCATAGTGTGCCTGCAAACACTGCTAGGACAGGAGAAGCTGCGTGCAACGGCACGTCCAAGTCTTGTCCTATGAAGACTCGAGAAAAATGATCGATATACTACCCATGTCAGTCTGTAGGATCCAACATCGATCCACTCATTAAATATCATAACAATTCCACGAAAAAAAACAAGCTGAATGTAATAATAAGTGTCGTTCATTTCACAAACATGCGACAAATCTTGATCAATCCTGCTAGGAAAAATGGAGGCACACTTCACAATATTGGAACGTATACTACGGCAAGCAACAACGAGTTTAATCTCACTAGACATGTCGAACCGCTGACTCTGACATTGCATTTCACACTTCAGACATCTTCAGACTAGTTAAAATACCAAGTGGTGCCCGAGAATGGCCCAGATGGTGCCCTGCACTCAGTATCACTCAGTGGTCCCATGTGGTCGCCAATGGTGCAATGGTGCAATGGTGCTCGCCGGTGCCTGGATGTTTTTTTGAGAGCCGGTGATGCTGTTCTCTCGAGCAGCATGGAGCATGGCCATGTACTTCTTTGCCACAGGCGAGATCAACTTCAGAGGCGACCAGGCCATTGGGGAGCTCTTCTCGTCTCCTGGAAATTGCTGGAAATCGCTGGAAATGTGTTACAGTATGTCTTATGCACATGTATGTAATATGACTCAGATTTGTATTATTAATATTTGGTTTTATATTATATAATGCAATTCATTGCAATACTGATCAATATACATATTCATACATATTCAATATACAAATCAGAAGCGTCCTTTGGGTTTGTTGTCCAACACCAGGTACAGGAGGCTGGTGATGTCAGGGCGCACCTCCACATCACCTCCATGGGATGCATAAAACACCCATTCCATGGAAGACTCAAAGAATAACTAACTCTTCTTTTAACTCGTTTACATCTTTTACAGTACCTGGTCTTGCCTTCTGAATGATCTGAATGTTTGTGACACTGGTATTCAAATGTACCATGTATATCCATGTATTACCAAAAAGATCCAGACAACTTTTTTTTTGCATTGGACAGTAATTGGTGCAAATACTGTAGGTGCCTTGGGGCTGCTCACCTGCAACCCTTCGCTTTGAATGTTCAGTGCTCAATTTAGTGGCCCTCTATGGCCCTCCTCTGTCTGACAAATTCCGGGCTCCCTTTCATCCTTCCAATAGATTCACTTCGGGTTTTGGGTGTTTGCAGGTTGGACAACTGCCTGCTTCGTAAGCATCTGCTAAGGCCATTCCTGGATCCAACAGGCTGCTCCAAAGGAAGCTCTCCTGGCGAACAAAGCTAACAAAGGCCACCAATGGTCTCAGCGAAAATGTGCAAAATTTGAACAAAAGAGGAGTCAATAACAGTCAGTACACCTTGGATGGTACCTCTGATTTTCCGCCAAACCCCAGAAATTTCAGGGTTTGGAAGCACAGGGTAGTCATGGGTAGTCTATGACATGCCAATATGTTGGTCGTTATTGCTGGTGCCTGTGAATGAAGTGCTCTCAATACAAATTCGGATCAATACATGGAGATCTGCACATAGTACAAGCGCTTTGAAGATGGCCTGCTGCATTCCTCTCTTATCCCTCTTATTTTCTTATGTCAAAGGTACAACCGCCTGAAAATTTCATTCAGCTCATCTGGCTGACCCTGGCGTTTTGGAACCCGCCTTGTGGATGCGCATTTCGATGACATCGCCAGTGCCATCACCGATCAAGGAGTCTTCACCGTCACCAAATACCACTCGAAGATTTCCAGTCTTGATCATCTTTGACATCCCAGGATGCAACACCTAGGAGTCACACAGTGAACCTCTGATGAAGGAAATGTCTGCTTCTTTCTCGTTGGTCACATCTGTTGACGTGACTGGATCACACAAAATGCAACAGTAGCTTCTCCAGGTTTGAAGAGTAAAAATATGGAATAACATGTAAAATCTATTATATACTAACCTATTGTACCTATTATATACATAATATATCATATATATTCATATGCTATACATTATTTTCTTCCTAGCCATGGGTCTTGGTGAGACCCGTTGGCACCACTACAGCACCTATGCGCTCAGGTGAAAAACTCTCAGAAAGGTGCTTGACGGTTGAAGGCCCAAGTTTTTATTTGTTCGCGGTGCTCCCAGTTCTGTATTTCGAACGGTATGTGCTCTTTTTGTCTGAGCCAACAATCTTTCATAGTTTCATATGTTCACGCCGCTCTTGGGCGTCCCACCCTTCTATGTTCAACTTGGTGTGGCAGGAGCGTTCTTGTTGGAAACGTTGCTTGGTGTTGTGGGTGGTCTCTAGATCTTCTGATGATATACATTAATTACATATAAATATAACATAATATAAATAATACGTGTTGTATCATATTGATCAAACAACTACCTGGTAGTGTAGTTGTTATCACAACATCTTGAAACCATTGACAGTCGTGCAAACTACTGTCGAGCGACCCATTTCCAAAATTTCTTCGCCACCAGAGATAGGGAACCCAGTGGACGTCTCTTCGCGGGCCATTTGGCCATGTCCAAACCAATAGCTTCGCACGCAGCACGGGCGCTGCGCATGCCATCCTCATGGAATCCGTTGCCACACCAGGCTCCACCTGCAAGAGGTTGTGACTCAAAACATCTCAAAACCATTTGCTCTTCATATCTCTTAATATCTCTTATATTCTCTTATCATCTCTTCATATCATCTCTTCATATTATGATGTGCTCTTCATTTTGCCAGATTTCCATCTTTCCATGCCATCAATGTGAGCTAATTTGATGTTCTTGCAGTCAATCAAAGAGATATTGTTATAAAATTGTAATATGTGTAATGGCAAACGCCATCGTCTTGCATCATTGTGTTGCTGCTGCAAGCTGTTCCATTTCAACGTGATTAAGGCCCGAAATGATCCATGTGCGAAACTCTTGTGAAGCTCATTGTGTGTTTGTGTGTGTCTGTATTGACCTACCCGCCCGGAAATTCTGTGACTGAATGTAGAGTGACAAAAAATGACAAAAAGAAGTCCAAGTTGCCAGTGAAAGAGAAACAGCGCACAACAACGACAAGAGATTGAGGGCCGTTGCTCTCATCTGTTCCGGCTTTCTTGTCTCCAAAAGAGGATATTTATTTCATCATCTGCAGCCCAGCAACAGAAGAAGATGCTGCCGTTCCCAATGCCTTGCAGCTGTGGAAGTGCTCTCTGCACCTTCAAAGCGTGGACATCCAGCAATGGATGGCCCAACCTCGGAGCTGAAGTCGAACAATGTCGATCAGTCGACCACCCCATGGAAGAGTTCAAATTGATTCAAATTAACTGTGGAGTTGGATATAGATGGATCATGAACTCGACCCGGTCATCTTTGGTCATGTTCGGGTTAGAGTTTTGTATGGATTTCTACCATTTGGCTGTTGAGCCAACAAATCTGGAAAGCTACAATGGCACAAGTTGTCGTCTTCTTTGCAGGGGCTGACGAACAGGCCGTTGGAAACAAGCCCCAGGGGGTTGCAGTTAACTTGGTACCAAGCTTGCCTGTCATCCTAGAACATATCTGTGCACATGGACATCTTTGTAGTTGAGCAGCACGTACTTGGCCAATATCTGATCCTTTGTAATGGAATCCTGCAGCGGCGGAAGCGGCGAAAGGAACATTCGAAAACAGACTTCAAGTATCTTCAAGTGGACATTTCATGTTTCAAGCCTCAATGATCCTCTTGGTCATCCATGGTCATCCTGTAGTATCTATGCATCCATAATCTCTGCAAATTGCAACAAAAATAACTCCGGCACTCAATGTCATTTGCTGATGAATGAATGTAACGGTGTAACGTTAAATACCCGCATATACCCGCGAATCCATAGCTGCTGTCCTTCGGGGGGTTCAATGTGACGAAGACATCCTTGCCCTCTGTGCATGCACCGGGCTGCAGTTTGTTGATCCAATAAGTGACCACTGCAGGTGCACCCGGCAGGTTCAGGCCATTCCAAGCGCTCCAACACGACTTCTCCTTCGGCATGAACTTGGGATCCTTGCAGCGAACCCTTGGATTCCCTTGGTCCATTCTTGGAGACATTTGGAGACCTTAAATCCGTTGAAATCCGTTGAAATCCGTTGAAGTCTCCTCACACTGGAAACTTGCGCTAGCCACAAACAACAGACTTGCACAGCACATCTGGAGAATCCGCTGGATCCCACTGGTCACCAAGTCATACCCTCTGGTAAAGAAATGATGAACCGTGATGAACCATCATATCAGAATGTATCAGAATCATATCTGGTCAACCAGCTATATGGCTGCAGCCCTGCTCCCTCTCCAGTACCACTGTGATTGAACTTATCAGCACCTCTGTCAACAGCAAACCCAAACAGCATCCAAGGATCTGTGTGGATGTACACGTCATTGGATGAATACCGGAAATTGTCAATCGTGTCCTTAGATACGAGTACATGGAAATCAAAGAGATGAATCCCAAAAGGGCAGCGGGGGCCAACGTGAAATGTGAATGGTCCGGAGACAAAAACTAAACTCCCAACGACCCAAATCTTCGAAACACAATTAGTTTCTTCATGCGCATAAAAAACCAACAGGTGGGTTCAGACGGGGTCCCAAAGAAAAGGTATCTACAGCAAATGGTAGGCTCCTTGCAAAGCTCCTTGTCCTGACTGCTCAAGCCGTTTGATCTTGCAAGAATGCCACTGGCGTCATCAGCATGCACGGCCAAAACCTGAGACCATCCTGCTTTCAGACTGAATCACCAAACCGAATTTCAAATATAATTAAATAATATAATAATAATAATATATATATATATATAGATGCAGCATTCTCCTGCTTTCAGACGGTGTTTTTTTCAAAACTCATCTGGAGGAAACAAAACAGTATGCTCAGAATGAATCACACAGGTAGCATGCCAGTGTTGCGGCCGGAGCCAAATGGGTGTGGGGACAAAACCTGCAAATATGAATGAAGAAAAGCCTTGATAGTATTTGGGTTTTTGCCTTTGGATGTTTTGATGTGCCAAAATAAATCTCAGAAACCACTTTGTCGAAATCTGGTTTCTCCGGACACACTGTCTGCCCTGTGGTGGTCACAACCTGCACTCCCTTTTCAGTGATCTGCAGTTTCGCCACCTGCCACAAGTTTTCAAAATGGACGCGCAACTGCTTGGGGAATGGAACATTGTCAGTGGTTCCTGAAATGGGACCACTCTTGCGAGGTTCTGCTGACGAGCGGAATCAAAATGCGAATTTAGGTGCGGTGATACGGTGTTTATTTTCCTGGTAACCCCATGGTGAAACTTAATATTTGCAATTACTTCCGGATCATGCGTGCACACAAAAAACGCCTTGGCACCTTCGGTGCGGGCGGATTTATTGACTGATTGTTCATTCATTTATTTGTCCAAGCAAAGTATCGGCAACTGGGAAGATCATATTATTCAGGACTTTTCATATTTTTTTAATCATAAATATCCATAAATCCACTTTTGCTGGTCAGCTGGCAAATCCACTTTTGCCCCTTAAGGACCTCCGTGCTTCGGCAGACGGAGCCGCCGGAGCTGAGCAGCACGTCGTGAAGTTTCGCCACGTAATCCTGCAGGGGAACACGGCCATAGAGTATCAACTGCATCCATCTGTTTCTCTGTCTGTCTGTCTCTCTCTCTCTATATGTATATATATATATACACATACAGTATATGATCATATATGATCATATATGAATACCAAACGTTTGAAAGCAAGCAGGGGGGGAAGGTATCGGTATGTAGTTATGATAGTAGGTGACCAAAAGGTAGGTGCAAAGAAAACATTGCTTTCGGCCTGGGTCTTACAAGAATCAACCCATGAGAGATGATGAAGAAGAAAAAACAGAAAATCATGATGATGGTGATGATGATGATGATGAGGAGGAGGAGGAGGATGATAACCATCATGATGGGGATGAGGATGGGGATGGGCAACAACTACAGTATTGGATCATTTGAGATGATAACGACAATGAAATATGATTCGCTTGATATATGCCAAAAAGAAACACAAAAATGGAAACTATGCAGTGCCAAACACCCAACGAGGAATCTGGATGTGGACGAGGATGTGGTTGTCGAGGATGAATTTCCCTGTATGAGGTATGGCTATGATGGCTACGATGTGTGCAAAAGAACGCCCCCGACATGGAAGCCATGCAGTGCCAAAAAACAAATCAAATATGCAACAACTTCTTCAAACCTCCTTGTGAATTGGTGGAAGCAAGGTGCATGTTCGGACCTGGTTGGGGTTGAAGAATCGCTTCATATGCCTTGAAGAGGAAAACAGTGCTAAAGCACGGAAAACTGAGGTAGCTGACGCTACCTTTCGTGACATACAGCTGGGTCGGGGGGTTACAATATACATAGCTAAGGCATGACAGGGTTGTAATGGAAGTTCAGATTGCCTCTTTCAGGTCCCTCGTAGCTGATGGGCTAGAAACATCTTGGCCGACTTTGTGACTCAGTCCTCTGAGCGAAACTTGAGAGTTCTCCATTTTGGCCGCGCCCGTTGCAGCAAATAATGGTTGTCCATGAAACCCAGAATGAAGCATGCAGGGAAGGCAGTGACCTGGTGAATCCAGATGCTGCCCTTGGCACAATGTCCAAAAACCAAATGATTGCGTTGCAGTAGAAACTCACAAGTCATGAGACAGATTATAATAGAGTGTACATTAATAATTTAATGCTTGGATTTATTCATAACATATACTGTATATATATATATTAGCTCAAATTTAGTGAACTCATAAGAAGCCGATTTACCACCATTGTTTCAGTCAATTCTCGCAAGTTCTGGATTCCATTGAGGCCTCCTCCATGGAGCAGCTCCAAATAGCGGCTCCAACTGGGGCGATGTATTCCTGGTGGAATTGGTGGCTGTGGGTCGGGAAATGCTGCTGGTTGAAATCATCATGAATCACCCCATATCATCTCATATTGTGAAATTATATCTACTGTATATACATCGATATTATATATGTATATATATATGTGTAAATGTAGATATCTATATTTATGAGCAAAGACCAAAACTAAGGGTCACAAAGGCGGTCTCGATGCAAAAACTATGGCTATTTAAATATGTAGTTCGCTATATCGCTTTACATGGTTTAAGTAGTTCACCATGCGCTTTCCAGGTTTTGCGACAGATTTTCAACGACGAGAAGTATATAAAGGTTTCTGATGGTTTCTGCATGGACCTTTTAGGTCTTTCTCATATAAAGTATATGTAACATTGTCTGTATGTATATGTTGTCTGCATTCTTTTTAACATATTACGTTGACCTTTCCGTACATGAGGGTGTTGGCCAAAATCAAACAATTTGACATGTTGATAGATTTGTAGGTATTTGCTGGTGAACATGCAATATTCCCAATTCTCGTACTGTTTGGGATATTTATTCTCGAGAGGTTTGAGTCAACACCGCTAACCAGATTGTCCAATGTCAATGTTACATCGTTTATGTACAGAAGCGAGGCAAGGGTCAAAGAACACAAAACCGCACAGCATCTAGTTGCGGTTGACTTTGCATGAGATGTCAGAGTTCTAACAGAGTGATTCAAGGTAGTGGCCGGATTGCTTCACTCTATATGATATAATAAAAAATGCATCTGTGTATAATAACCACCCAAGGCGAGACACCCGGGTGTGGGGCAACAACAGTGGCCATCGAGGGAAAGCTAAATGGGTTGTCCGAGGCCTCCAGTAAATTCCATGCCCCTGCCATGTTGAGCCTCCCAAAAAGGCAACCCTCTTACTACTGTTTTACTTAATGTGCATCGTTTTCAGGGGGGCTGCCGTTTTCCAGACCCACGGCCCAACCCGAGGCATGGCAAGCCCAGGGGGCGACAAGTTTGCCTGGCCTCAAACCCTCCAAACTGCTTCCGCAGGCTTCCAAGGCAACAACTCTTAAGATACTACTTAATATTGTCAAAAACAACTTAAACCCTCCTCAGCCAGGACTTCTACCCATTCAGCATTTGTTTGGGGGGTTCAAGACTGCCGTTTCCGGCCTCCACCCCCCAAATCGCTTCAACCCTCGGCCAGCTTTACTCTCACATTTCCTTGCCTCTAGTTTTTTAACATGTGCTAGATCTGTTTTGCAGGGGTTCAACACTGCCGTCGCCGCAAGCCCTCAGCACGCCCCTTGCACTGTGCAAGGTAAAACATTATGCTAAACTGAACCTGCTCAGTTTAAAGGCCCAACCGACACGTTGCTCAATCCTCTGATCTCTCGTGGGCCCAAGACACAGACTCATTGGCACCAAAGTGTGACCTGGATGCCCCTGCCATTGACTTGCCGGGGGTCAATGATTGCTTGTAGAAACCCCCAAGTTCTGGTACTTGCCAACCTGTGCTCTGGTGACCGTGTGATAGATGCTGTTGTCTTTGAAGTAAAGGCCTTCTCGGTTTTGCAAAGGCAACTCCTCACACAATGGTTCCATGCCATCCAATGAGGCATGGAATATGTTCTCTGCACCCTCAATCTTGTCTCCCCGATGCAAACAGACAAGCATGGCACGATCTGCGCCATCTGTGTGGATACCTTGCCCAGTCACACTGGCACGGGTCTTTGCATATTCTTTTTTGTCAAAGTAGCTGGTCTGGATCTGAATGAGGATGGCAGTTTTCTCTGGAATCCCATAGTACTCGGCAAAATTCAAGACCACTTTGGAGACGGGGGCACCAGGCTCAAAGAGGTCTTCATTGAAGAACCAAGTAGGGCGGAAAGGCCTGAGAATCAAAAACTCCACTCCTGAATAAGTAGTTCTGATGAACGTTGCACTCTTAATTGATGATGGTGCAAAGCCATGGCTTTGTGAGCTTCAAAAACTCCCCCCAAACATGCTGCTCCAACCCTTCCGCAGGCCCGCCCCGGACCTCGGGGACTGCTAATAAACGCCAGTGTTTTTCAGGCCTTTTCTACATTGACAAGAACCTCCTCGGTTGGCTCCATTGCTTGGACCGCGCACAAGTTGCTGCCCATGGCCCAATGGCGGAAGGCCCTGGTGAAACTCACGCGGAGAATTTGTATGGCAAAGGACTTCAGCCGAAATGCTGAAGCGGATGATCTTGGACACAAACACCTCCTGAACGAATGATTACTATGAAATAATGTCATATCACAATGATTCACAATGCCTAGCTCCACCTCAATCCCCAAGTCATTCAATTTTGGACTCTCCACGACTTTCCAATCTCCCGGGGATCAGCAAGATAGTCATGTATTAGGCAGTGATAAGTGTTCCGTTTCCAATTTGGAGATTTTGTCTGAAGAAAACGTCAATGTTCGAGTCCTTTCGTTCCACCCGAGGCACATGCAAGGTGTCTGGGATGTACTTGGCCAACGCTGCACAAGCGCTGATGCTTTTGTCATATCCTTGCATAAACCATCATAAACCCAGAAAACCCATAAATGACTGTTGAATCCGCCGACCCCGGCCCTTTGCCAAGGCAGGGGCGGCGCCTGGAACCACCGCAGTGTGGAACTTGGCTCTCGGGTCGCAAGCAAAGCCACACCCTCCAAACGCTTCCGCAGGCTTCCAAGGCAACAACTCTTACAGCTACAGCTACTACGGGTTCAAGACTGCCGTTTGCCTGGCCTCAAACCCCCCAAACGCTTCCAACCCTCCCGCAGGCCTCCAAGGCAACAACTCTTATTACAGCTACTACATGCCCCTGCCATCTGGGGTTCAAGACTGCCGTTTGCCCGGCCGCAAACCCCCCAAACGCTTCCAACCCTCCCGCAGGCCTCCAAGGCAACAACTCTTACAGCTACTACATGCCCCTGCCATCTGTTTTTCAGGGGGTTCAAGACTGCCGTTTGCCCGCCCTCAAACCCCCCAAACCCTCCCGCAGGCCTCCAAGGCAACAACTCTTACAGCTACATGCCCCTGCCATCTGTTTTTCAGGGGGTTCAAGACTGCCGTTTGCCTGGCCCTCAAACCCTCCAAACGCTTCCGCAGGCTTCCAAGGCAACAACTCTTACAGCTTACACAGCTACTACATGCCCCTGCCATCTGTTTTTCAGAGGTTCAAAACTGCCGTTTGCCCGGCCGCAAACCCCCCAAACGCTTCCAACCCTCCCGCAGGCCTCCAAGGCAACAACTCTTACAGCTACTACATGCCCCTGCCATCTGTTTTTCAGGGGGTTCAAGACTGCCGTTTGCCCGCCCTCAAACCCCCCAAGGCTTCCCGCAGGCCTCCCAGGCAACAACTCTTACAGCTACATGCCCCTGCCATCGATTTTATTTTTCAAGGGGTTCAAGACTGCCGTTTGCCTGGCCTCAAACCCTCCAAACGCTTCCGCAGGCTTCCAAGGCAACAGCTCTTACAGCTACATACATGCCCCTGCCATCTGTTTTTCAGGGGGTTCAAGCCCGCCCTCACACCCTCCAAACGCTCCCGCAGGCCTCCAAGGCAACCACTCTTACAGCTACATGCCCCTGCCATCTGTTTTTCAGGGGGTTCACGACAAGTTTGCCTGGCCTCAAACCCTCCAAATGCTTCCGCAGGCTTCCAAGGCAACAACTCTTACAGCTACACTGTAGCTACTACATGCCCCTGCCATCTGTTTTTCAGGGGGTTCAAGACTGCCGTTTGCCCGGCCTCAAACCCCCCAAACGCTTCCAGGCCTCCAAGGCAACAACTCTTACAGCTACACTTGTAGCTACTACATGCCCCTGCCATCTGTTTTTCAGGGGGTTCAAGACTGCCGTTTGCCCGGCCTCAAACCCCCCAAACGCTTCCAACCCTCCCGCAGGCCTCCAAGGCAACAACTCTTACAGCTACATGCCCCTGCCATCTGTTTTTCAGGGGGTTCAAGACTGCCGTTTGCCCGCCCTCAAACCCCCCAAACGCTTCCGCAGGCCTCCAAGGCAACAACTCTTACAGCTACATGCCCCTGCCATCTGTTTTTCAGGGAGTTCAAGACTGCCGTTTGACCGGCCTGAAACCCTCCAAACGCTTCCGCATGCCTCCAAGGCAACAACTCTTACAGCTACATGCCCCTGCCATCTGTTTTTCAGGGGGTTCAAGACTGCCGTTTGCCCGCCCTCAAACCCCCCAAACGCTTCCAACCCTCCCGCAGGCCTCCAAGGCAACAACTCTTACAGCTACTACATGCCCCTGCCATCTGTTTTTCAGGGGGTTCAAGACTGCCGTTTGCCCGCCCTCAAACCCCCCAAGGCTTCCCGCAGGCCTCCCAGGCAACAACTCTTACAGCTACATGCCCCTGCCATCGATTTTATTTTTCAAGGGGTTCAAGACTGCCGTTTGCCTGGCCTCAAACCCTCCAAACGCTTCCGCAGGCTTCCAAGGCAACAGCTCTTACAGCTACATACATGCCCCTGCCATCTGTTTTTCAGGGGGTTCAAGCCCGCCCTCACACCCTCCAAACGCTCCCGCAGGCCTCCAAGGCAACCACTCTTACAGCTACATGCCCCTGCCATCTGTTTTTCAGGGGGTTCACGACAAGTTTGCCTGGCCTCAAACCCTCCAAATGCTTCCGCAGGCTTCCAAGGCAACAACTCTTACAGCTACACTGTAGCTACTACATGCCCCTGCCATCTGTTTTTCAGGGGGTTCAAGACTGCCGTTTGCCCGGCCTCAAACCCCCCAAACGCTTCCAACCCTCCCGCAGGCTTCCAAGGCAACAACTCTTACAGCTACATACATGCCCCTGCCATCTGTTGTTCAGGGGGTTCAAGCCCGCCCTCACACCCTCCAAACGCTCCCGCAGGCCTCCAACACAACCACTCTTACAGCTACATGCCCCTGCCATCTGTTTTTCAGGGGGTTTACGACAAGTTTGCCTGGCCTCAAACCCTCCAAATGCTTCCGCAGGCTTCCAAGGCAACAAC